TTCTTTTTAGATAAATAATGATAAAAACTTTATTATTTAGATTCTTCTAAATAAGTTATCAACTATGGTTGAAACTGTAGCTGAAAATTCAGTTAAACCGTCGGTTGAACTAATGGTCTAACCATATTGAATCACGTGATAAAAACCGATATTTATCGTAGTTTTTAATCTTGAAACCAAACTGAATCAGTTCGGTTATACAACCAGTTTAAAACCGGTTTATCTTTAACCGTTAACATCCCTAATTCTTCGGCATGAATTTTACCGATATAGCACTGCACCCGAAGCTAGGAAAAAATCACATGGAAAAAATTAAGTCTTTGAAAAAAAAATTTTCAATTTTATCCTACGGTCAAAATAAAGACATACATAACTTATATTTTTTACATGGCAAATACATATAGCATATATATACAATTCAGAAAATAACGTCCGATGTGACAAAGCTTTATATTCTATTGTATTGTGCAAATGCATAAAATATATGAATTACATTCCGTTGTAAAATTATTCTAATCTATACATGTACTTTTATTGGTGAAAATTGGACTCTATTGCCAGACAATCGCTTATGACCTTCTCTTAACGTGTCATAAAACATCATCGTATTTTTTCTCGTTCGTGACTTCCAGGACAATATTACTTTGATACCAACTACTAACTTCGAAAAACATTCCACGGTTCTTGGAATTTCGACATGTGCAAATTCCATAGTAACAATTGTATCCTCAAGAGAAATTTGGATGTTGATATTTTGAGTTGAAATTAATTTGATTGCAAACTATAAACTTCAAGATCTTTGATTCTATTTTTCACGTGAGAAGGTAGCGCAAAAAATAATGCCGTAAGAATAATTTTAGAGCAGTACTCTAATTTCTGCAGGTCTCTTGTCCTTTTGCTCTGTGTACTTATTGCTCCGTCTTCCTGCGCTAAAATTTCAGTGCCTAATGACTTGAGGAAACCTTTTCCGTCTAATCTGGAACCACTACGAGTAACAATATTTAAAATTTCTTTCAATTTATCATATGACTTGGACGCTACTTCTCCACATTTTAATCTCAAATCAGTCTTTCCAAAGAAAGCATTTCTAAGCATTGGTGTCCAGACATATGCGTTAAATTCAGCTTCCGTTAGAGATTGTGTAAGTACATCATTTTTGTATAAGAACAGGAAATGGAAGAAGTGGTTTTCAGCATAAATGAGATCATTTGATGAGGTAGAATGATTGATTCGATTTATATCTAAACACTCTTCTAATGTCCTTAAACTATCAATGTTATCAAACTTTTCTAGGTACTTTAAAACTTCCTCTTCACAATCTACTAAAAATTTATTGATAACATTCCCTTCTGAAAAATATATGGAATCGCCAGTACCTTGCACTTGATCTGCTACAGTCCCTGGCGAAAAGAATGGCGGAGACAGTTTTCGATGGTATGTATAAACTTTATTTTTAATGTTTATTTTTATTTTTTTATTTAAAAGAATAATACTAACAGAACATTTTTTA